TGTCACGTTTACGGATACGAACTCTAATCTTTTTTACTTATGTAACTCTTCCGTTTTTAGCACAAAGACACTAAGAAACTTTCAATGACTTTCTATTTAATTTGTTAGCGCGCTTTGTTTGATTTCTGTTCCGTGACTAGCGAATATCCGCTCAAAGCTAGCTACATAAAGCTCTGTTCATTTCTATTTCCCGTACGTCAAAGTGTAAGAACTAAATTCGCCTTCTATAAGCAAGTAGCTCAGTTGCGAGGAGTCACTGTAGCGAAAGCATTTCGGAGCCGAACGAAGTTTAGGAGTTCTCTACCCCGGAGTCAAGATCCGATGTAAGTTACGCTTGTAATATTCCTCATTTTTATCATTTCTAGTTTCGTAGTCTTTCGGTTTTCCTTATATCGAACCTTCATGTATCCGTTCTATAGTTTTTACCGCCTGTGCTGTACAAAGACTGCCAGCTTAAGTGAATAAAGAGTTTGATGCTGCTGCTTGTCTAAAGTTCAACACTGTGGTTATACTGGCGAACTCCGGTGCACAACACCACGTGTCTGCGGCATCGGGAACGCGACAAGCCACATAAGTTTTTTGTGTACCACAGAACCAAACTAAGTCACTAAGTTTTTTATCAAATAACCTCTAATTGTACAAGATATGAAATACTTATTTAACCTACTTAAGATGTGATTACATGCATAATAAGTACTAAGGGTACTGAACAGCCACTAGGGCTCGACACTAACAGTAGCCCACTAGCCACAGACTAGTAGAAATTCAGTTTTGGCTAATGGTTTTCAATTTCCACTAGCCAGTTTGGCTAGTAATCAGACTGAAATTGTCGTAACATCTTAAAACATCTAAGATGTCACTAGCCACTTGGCTAAGTACTTTGAAAAGTTAGTGTCGAGCCCTGGCCACCATAAAGATTCTTCAATTAAAGCATTAATTTACTTAATCTCTGCAAGTCAGCTTAAGCCAAGAAACTGGCAATTCATTGAAACATTTAACTTGCTCTGCCATTCCTCTTGCATTTGAAATTTTTACTGTTAAGAATCATGTCTCGGAAAATCTTTCGGAGCTAGAAGTGTCTGGGGCTGCAGCTGGAAGGATGGTTATTTCCACACAGGCTGATCATGCCAACCAGCTGTCTGGCCTTACACATCGTTTTTCACCATAATTTATAAAAATAATTTGTTGACAGCTCCATTTCATTTTTCTTTCTCATTTTTGTCAACAGAGTAAAGGTCTTTTACATGGGAACAACCACCTGGTATATTTTAAACTTATTTATACAACTATTATTTACAGCTATGAATACTGGTTCTTTCTCTAATGTAATTGGCTAGTTTAGCTAAAAAATTCTACTTCCAGTATTTGCCTGAAGGCAAGCAATTATTAAATCAGTCCACCATGCAAATTAGGATTTTTGGTTCAATGGAATATGCTTTTCTTTGCACAAGCCAACTCAAACGAATCCCAAGTTTTGAATTATACTGACTAAAATGATATACCGTATTTACTCGCCTATAAGCCGATCTCGGCTATAAGCCGAGACCCTAAACTTCTTCATGTCAGCAGCTGTTGCATTGAAATAAAAAATAAACACAAAACATTCGGCTATAAGCCGAGACCTAATAATTGCAAAGTACTCCACGCGTGTCGTTAACTGAGATGAATTAACATAAACCGAAAACAAAAGGAGCTTCCCTCTCGGGAAACATGCAA